TATGTGCCAGGCATTGTGCTAAGTACTTGACAGTCTTTATTGCAATGAGTTATCAAAACAGTCTTATGACCTAGACACTACTAATTATCTCCATTGTACAGATAAGGAAACTGCTGACAAGTGGAATTTATTAGTTTGACCCAGGTCACATCATACACAAGTTTCACAATAGGGACAAGAACCCAGATTTTTTTAAAAATGAGTTTTCAAAAAAGCAATAAATTTAAATTAAATCTATGACTAAGTGAGAATTAGGTCACATTACCAAAGTGTAAATTATAGAATATTTAAGAGGAAATGAGATTTAATTCCTGTAATACTTTTACATTGTTAAGCTGCATTAGGAAGTTTTCTTAAAAACCTTCAGCCTAGCTGTTACCATATACTATAAGTCAATCAAGTAACAAACCTGACAAAGGAACTTAGGTTAATATCTATTCCAGTACTAGTACCAAGCAGCTTTAATATGGGTAGAGATATTTTAACATAAGTAAACTAGCAGCATCATTCAGTTTCACTGAAGGCAGCATGATGCGATGAAAAGAGCGCAAGCGATGAGATCAGATCTCAGATTTCTCAACTGAAAAACTGAGATAACCACTCTTACCCAAACACTACTGAGGACTTTAATGCTGGAGTGTTCTGCAAACACCATACAGTAAGAGTATGTAAGTTTAATACTTGACCAAGAAATGTAAATGTCTGAAATTGCATAATATGGGTCTCAGCAAGTAAAAGCACCTTTTCAATTCCTCTAAGTTGTAAAGAGAAACATACCTCATCATAGTGAGGAAAACTCATCGAAAACCACTCGCTCTTTCCTTATCCATAGGATTCCTGGCATTTTGGACAACAAAGATTATTGTCTAAGTATCATTTCCACTTGTTACCAGCATATTTTGCATTAAAACATGTATATTTACGCACAGATGTGAGCATGCACACAATATCAATTTTTATTACCTCCTTTCACCTTGATAGCTGATGGAGAAGTAACAAATGATAAAGCACTCCATATTGGTTCCACCTGCTGTCAATCTCTCTGACCATGAGCTTCCTCTCATCCTGGATCATCCAGTGTGTGTGTGTGTGTGTGTGTGTGTGTGTGTGTGTGTGTGTGTGTGTG